TACATTTATTTATTTATTTATTTTAAAGTGGACTTTGCCATTAAAGTGGTTCTGTCGCCAACACACTAAACAAATGTGTAAAAACGCCAACATACAAAGCCTGGCTACAGTTTCCCAACAAGCACTATTAATAAAAACAGCACCTTTGACATACGTGACATACGTGTGTATCAGGATGGCATCATAGCCTAGAGCAACAAGGTTTTAAAAGAATGCTTAAAACAAAGACAAAATATAGCTGCTTCGTATTATATAGTAGCTATCACTGAGCTCTACAGCACCTCATCAAAGCAATTTATTATAACAATATAGTTTTCTGTGTATTCATCTTCCTTCCATTGTTTCCCTACATGACCTGCATGTTAAATCACCTGGGGGTAATAGATCATTCCATTAGAACTGCACACTCGCTTACTGCCAGACACATTCTTCTGGGTGGGTTTTCCTGATTTGCTGCAGTATTGATTATTTTCATGCCAGCGGAGAAGAGCCTGTCCCTGTATTGACAAGAAGCACGAGGTAAACAACGGCAAACTATATTAAACCTACATATCATTTGAAACACTGCTTAAAGAGAGCAATGTTAATTGCCTGGCTGGTATGTCATCTCACTGGCTTTAGTTCTTCTTAGTCACAGACCTGGTACAAGTACACGGATCAGGAAAGTCACAGTAAGGTCAAAGTCTTTTCTGCACCCTTGTTCCAGATTAGTGACGAGAAACACTGATTTCACAGGTCATTTTTCAGTATTCAGCGCTGCGGTTGGGGGGGGGGGGTTATCAAAACTGGAGCAGACAAAATTTGCAGCAGCTTCTCTCTTATTTTTAAATCTTCCCTGAGCAAACTGAAGAGAGATGCCATGGGCAACTGTTCCAGATTCTGTTTGCTCCAGTTTTGATCAATTCCCCCCATTGAGCTTTCTTTTGGTGGTATTTAATCACCACTGGAGTTTTATTTTTTTACTATATAACAAAAAAAAGTACCAATAAATTAGAAAAAAAAAATGTTTCGCTTTATTATGTTATGAAACATTTATTATTATCCAATTGTTTGGTAAAATAAATAAATGGGGTGATGTCGGGTAAATAGACGACAAACACGTCAAGCTTAAAAATTGTGCGCTTCCACGAAATGGCAAAAAACTACCACCCCCAAAATTCGCCATAGGCGACGCTTTAAGCTTTTACCGTTCATAAGGTTAGTATTAATAGTGATTGATGGCCCTAAGATTATTGCTCGCACTCTGACATTCGAGGCTATATGTAACATGTGCGGCGTAATGGGCACAATCCTCGTTTTCGCACATAGGAGCACTTCGCGCGTGTTTGCGTGTGTATGTGGGGCGGGGGACTTTTTTTGGTGGTTTTTTTTTAAGTGTGACTCATTTTTGGGGGGCACAGAGCCGGGATCGGCGGCAGAGGGAGGCGCATGAAGGCACAACATACAAGCGATTGGGCGGCTCTACAGCCGCCGGACAGCTTGTATGTAAACAGCCAAATTTTACAGCTCTTGCATGCCTCGTCCAGGCGCAAGAACCTTTTAAAACGCCCACCTGCATCTAGGATGTACAGCTGGCGGGTGGCAAGTGGTTAAGGACTTTGCACTTTCAAATTTTATAAACCCCTCAAGTAGAGTACACACGTATTACATTTCATCTGGTTCCTGATGAACTAGACAAAATTCACACAATGGGTGCCACTGCCGGCACCCTTCCACCCAGCATCCCTTGATCAGCTGATTGAAGGAGCAGGTTGGAAAATTCTCTGCCGAACGGAGGTGGCAGCAAATCAGCTACAAGCTCCGTTTGGGCATTCGGACGGAGGCTGACGGTCCTAAAAACAGCAGGGGATTCGTCCACCCACACTGGCAAATGTTGATGGAGGAATCTGTTATATTTTCTTTCAGTATATACAGTATACACGTGTATACCCGGCTTTACACTATTGAGCTTTTTTTTTTTCACCTTTTACTTTTTATACACCTCTGAAAACACTGTGAAATGTGGTCCATATTTGTTCTGGAAACCAGAATGTGCACAATATACAGGAGCATCTTACATACTATGGTATACCCTTATCTGTAGTGGGTACAGGGTATATGAGAGGATCCATCAGGAAAGGCTGGGTGGTCCCTACTATAGATAGGCATCTGTAGTAGGTACAGGGTGAAGCATTTTAAAGCTTTGGTGCAATTTATCATGGCCAGCACTGATTGTGAGGTGTATAAGACACCATCCTTGAAAAGGATCCATAAGTGAAACCAGACTTCTGTAATAGTGTGAGGTAAATACTATATGGACCTACGTGAACTATGGTGAATATATACAGTATGTCTATTGGGACTAAGAGGTGAAAATCGCTCAAATGGGGAAATGATATGGAAAAAAGAAAATAAGGGTTTTTAAGTGCTGCGTTTTTATGAACTTTGATTTTTGATGTGGACTATATATCGTCTATTATATGCTGGCTGCTATTGAACTGATAATCAGCATGGACTTTCTTCCTTTTCATTAGCTCATAATTTTAACACCCTCACTCACTTTAAACTCTAAAGTGATGAACGGTAACGGCTTATAAAGTGTCGCCTATGATCAATTTTGGGTACTGTCGGGTTTTTTTTTCCATTCCATTTAAGGCTTGACATGTTTGGAATCTATTTACCTGATACAACCCCATCTTTTACATTATACCAAAAAATAGCTATTATATAATGTTTGTGTGCACTAAAGCTTTTATTGTAATTTTAATGTATTTTTTCCTAAAAATATCAACTTGAAATAACATTTGTGCAACTATTGCACAACTTAAATAATTGCAACTAGCATTTTTTCTTTATTCTACAGGGCCTCTGCTTTCAGAAAATATATAATTGTTTGGGGGGTTTTAATACGGTTTTCTAGCAAAAAATTCAGATTTTAACACCTGGGTGGAAAATTTGAAAAAGTGCTCTGAATGCCAAGTGGTTAAACTAATAATAACAATATATAATACAAAGCCTCTTTTAATACACACAGACAGAATAAATAAAAGTCTAACACGTGAATGCAAACTCTTTAATAATGAATATCTTCTCCCTGTCAGGTCATGTCATGTCATGTCATAGACAAACAAACTTTCATTATAACAAAGGGAGCTTAATAAATAAAGTCAGGCTCCATAATTGCCAGCATGTTTTACCATACAGTAAAAGCTACAAACCAGTTTGTCTATAAAAAAATATCTCATTATTATGTGATGCACTGATCGTGAGCGCAGTTTTGGTCACTGAAGTCACCGTGAAACGTTAGGCACAGTAAGTTTAAAGAAAGAAAAAAAAGGTTTAAAACATCCTTTGACTGTAGAAGACTAGGGTTTCCGGCCTCTGGCAACACTCACTACATTAGCATCGATGATCCCTGTCAAAGCCTATCAAGGACATTTTGGTTCATGAAAGCAGTAGACTTCTCTCTAACATGCCTGGGCAAGAGGCGAGCTAGTCCTGCTACTCACATGGTATAAAACTATTAAAATATCTGCTTCTGGCAGTATTGTGCTTCTGTTACAGCAAGTCTGTAGACCTGAAGGAAGAAAGCCAAGGTGAACATACTAGTATAACTCTTCCAGGGGCACTTTCACTGTCCCCTTCGTTGGAACTTGCAAGATATCCATCATAAAGAAATGGAACTCTCAAGGATGTGCCTGATAACCTAGTATGTGTCAGTGTGGGTTGATAGCCTTATTTAGTAGGAGGAATGTGGTCATTTATTTACATACTTGCACACAGTGAATGCTGAGGGCCCTTGTGAAGAATGGTTTGAGCATTTTGAGGGCCTGAAACTTGTCTGGGTGCCAAATATAAAGGAGCACAAAGAGGGCCTGTGTGCTTCAGCCTTATTCAGTAAAATCTTTTCTACTTCCAGTTTGTGAGTTCCAGCAGAATGGAAATACAGAATGCTTTCTGAATCACAAACTGACTTAGAAATCACACACCCTTCTGACAAAACATGTTTACCAATTAACAATAGCAGCATGAGTGCAGAGAGGACCAATGGAAGGGAATAGATCTGCAATCCAATACCACTTTACAACTATGTATTGTTTTCACTTATATTTGAATTTGCCCTGTGTCTGCAATCTCTTTGTGTCTACATCCTTTTCAAGGTGCAGGTGCTTATCTTGCTCTGCTATCTGCCATGCCTTACCATTTACTAGCCTATATACAGTGGCATGACAATAGTCATAGCAGCCCAAGTGGCTGCTATGGGGCCTGGGGTTGGAGGGGGCACTATTCGGGGGGCTGGTTAAGAAAACTAAAGTGTCAAGCTTCCAATATAGAAGGGCTGAAGTGAGACCACAGGATTGTCTAGTCACAGATTCCCCACTGTGCAGTAAGAAGCATTTGCTTATCATAGCAGTGAAGTTTTATTGCTCTGAACTTCTGCTACAGACTGATATTATCTCTGTATGCCTAATGCTGTCACAAATCCCAGAGTTTCACCTCTTTTAAAATCTTATAGGAGGTGTGAGGTTTGTGGTTCCACAAAAAAAAGCTTAAAGGAGAACTATGAGGTTGAGTGAAAATCACTCACCTCATAGCTCTCCTTTAATAAAGCTAGAGTTTACAGACATTTGTATTAGCATTGAAGAGTAAGTGTGTGCAAGAGCAATATTCATTGTATCATAATAAAAAATATAATTATGGTTATTATTATTATTAGTGCTACTATAACTTTTGCCCCCAGCACAGCTCTGTAGTAGTGTACTGGCTATGTTAACAGCTCTCTGCATGATTGTCCCTGATACATACCTCATGTTAAGATCAATGACACATATTGACGCTGACAGCAACTACAGAGAGAGTTAGACATACAGTATATACCTAAGGTTCACTGCTATGACAGGAAGGGACTATATCACAGAGCTAGCAGACCAAATCCTAAATTGATGCCTGAACAGTTAAGCATATAGAATTGTGTCTGCTGCCCATAGTTGAGCTTTGGAGGTGGTTATTAGGAAATAGGACCTAACACACAATGGGGGATTTCTAGGGCTCTAATGAGCTCTTTTTTGTTTCAAAGGGTCCTGAGGAAATGTAATGTAATGTAATGTAATGATTCATTTATTCAAATGGTATTACAATATTAACACTTTCATGTAAATAAAGCTACATTTATGTAATGTTCAGTCCGGGTGAACTAACAGACTATATGGATCTCAACTGTGGTTCTAGGGTACGGGTATCAGAGTGGCAGCTGCACCTCACTTGCCCCGTTTTTAGGGGAGGCTGAGAGGGAGCTGCCTCACATCATTTCCCCGCTGGGGTGAGGGTTTGGTGACCCCGGAGTGTGGGGTCGAGCTGGAGTGAGGAGAGAGTCCGTGCACTGGTAATCTACCTCAGCAGGGGCAAATGATCAGCGTTGGTGAGTATACACAGCAGTTTGATGTTAATCAGTGGTGAGGCGTCCTCACAGCAGTGGAGGTACAACAATCAGTGGAGAGTATGCACACAGTGAGTATAACCAGCAGGTATGAGCCTTCACAGCATTAGATGTGTTTAAGCCCGCAATATTCACAGCAGTAGATATTATACCAGCAAGTATGAGTATTCACAGCAGCAGATTTATACCAGCAAGTATGAGTATTCACAGCAGCAGATCTATACCAGCAAGTATGAGATTTCACAGCAGCAGATTTATACCAGCAAGTATGAGCATTCACAGCAGTGGATGTTTAAGTAATCAATAGAGAGTAGCCACAGCAGTGGATATAACCAGCAATTATGGGTATTAACCGTAGTAGCTATGGGAGAAACTTTAGCATCTGGTGCTATTGTATAGGTATAGCCCAGGGTACTTGCGTTCCAGTTGGGTAGGTTTGAGAGTCCAGGTCCCGGGGGAGAGAAGGGAGCGCTGAGTTGATCAGCGTCCTGCTACATCAATAGCGAGACGCCGATCAACTGACGGGCGGCGGCTTTAAGCCGAGGGGGCGGAGCTACAGGGCGCGCCTGCGCAGGACGTAGATCCCGGAGGAGAGAGAGATGCCGGCAATTCACACCGCGCCTGCGCAGTACGACCACGGGCACTGCCACCCGAGGCCATCACCCGCTCTGAGCGACCCCGGGCAGGAGGAACCCGCTGTCCCTGCACAGGACCGCGACGGACGCCCGCACCGGACCCCCCCAGGGTACAACCCTTACAATTTAATTTGTAATGAAGCAATAATCTGACCTCTTAATAAAGTTCCCATAGCAAGACTGTCCTTCTGAACTTTTATAATCAGCATGATGGGGTTATTTTGGAAAGCTTAGAATCTGAAGACTGAACGTGTGTTTGCCAGCACGGCGGTTATTGAATGCAGCCGCGTTACGGCCACTTACCTCTCTCATCTACAGTACATAAAGGAGATTCCAAGATATACCTTTTGTCTGATACCCACAAGCATTCTATTGCTACACATTTTCCCTGTCAGAGAGAAAAGCATTTGGGGCCAATAGAAATTTGTTCTCAATTGCCTATGCAGTCATTAGTAGAGTGTCACATTTCACAACATATACCTACTCAATGCCTCTAGCCTGTATTTGGAATAAGAAAATGCTAATTGTTGCAAAGGACCCATTTACCAGTTTGCCAGATGTTGGTACTTGGCCATGGGAACCTGATTGTTGCAGTAGATCACAGTTTCAGATTCCCTGGATTACTGGCATAACAAATCAGAGAGGATTCACTCATTACTGTTCAAGTGCTTTGAAGACGAATTGCCATCTATCTGATTGGCCTATAAGGGATACCCATAAATGCAAAGCAACTATTGTTTATTACAGTAAGAAAGATGCATGACTTTAAAGTAGGGATGCACTGATACCAAGTCCTGTACTGGGTACAAGTACATGTACAGTTACAAGTACAGATACTTTTCGAGCTCCAAGAATAAACAAGAGAAAAATTCAAAAGGAGGCAGCTGTCATTTGTAAGGAGCATACGGAGCTCCTGGGATTTGTACATCTCTGTTTTTATAAATATAAATGAAGTGATGCACCGATACCATTTTTACAAGTACTAGAAAAAAAACTAGAAGAAAACTATTTTTTCACAAGTTTTGATTATTATTATTATTTTATAATTTTTTATATTATAGTATAACAAATATATTTATATATAATTTTTATTTTCCTAATTTTGTTTTACACTCTTTTTAATTTTTTTTACACTTTGTAAAAAAAAAAAATGAAACATTATTGTTTGTCAGTTTATATCAAGCAATCACTATGACTGCTTGATAAATTAACTTTTAAAAAAAAATTTTGGGCTATTAGCTAATAATAACCTTAGAGACTGATCCTGACTTTAGTCAGATTCAGATCTCACTAAAAGCTCTTTGATCGTGCCTAGACGATCAGAACTGATACATTTCACTCAAAAGATATACATTGTATCTTTTTAGTGAAATGTATCTAAACATCGGGCTCTCGAGCTGTCAAAACAAATAGCAGAGAGGTGAGTCACTGCTACCTCTCTGCTATTTTCAGCTGTCAAATACAGTACCGCAAATTGCGGTCCCGTATTTGCATGTAACAACTTCATTCTTTCATTAATGAAAGGAAGAAGCTTTTACAAAAAGCTTAATTATTTCATTAATGAATTCCTCAATACTGAGGCATTCATTAATGACTGGTAACTGCTGAGAATCAGCAGTTACCTGCTGATTACAAAGCCTGATATAACTCGTTACATACAGTGTACGTGGCCAGTCATATAGGCACAAAGTGCCGGGACGTTCACTGTACGTCTCCAGTCACGAAGGGGTTAAACCCTCAGATTTTTTAACATAAAACAATACTGTAATGTGTGCCTTACTGTAATCCATGGTAGTTTCCCTTCTCTTTGCTGTTTTCTTCTAGTTTGTTTCCTCATTTTTTTTTATTTTATTCAAACTAAGTGAGGGGTTAGGTACACATATGTGATATAATTATATAGCCCTATCTGTCCTCTAAAAAACAATATATAATATGTGTGGGTACGTTTAGTAAGAAAGTATATTACTGCTGTGGAAGAATCACACAGCAAAAATGTAAAAAGTGTTTTTTACATTTCATTCATTTATGAACAGAAACTGAAAACTAGCTCAGTCATGAAGGGGTTAATGTCACTTTAACCTCTCGCTGCAGTGAGGCCTGTGCCTTAGTATTGTCGCCATATCCTGTTGCCTGTATCTTGTTCTTGCATTGTACCCTGTTCCTGACTTGTACCCTGACCTGGACCTGACCTTTACGCCTGAGGCCCCCCGATCTTTGTCTCCTGGCTCCCCTCTTGTTGCCCTGCTCTCCAGGTTATACCCAGCCCTGTTATCTCTGATATCTGATTTGTCATTGTATATTGTTTAGCTCTCATATGTTACTGGTGGTCGTGGGGTTACATGTGTTTGTAATGTTTTTCTAATAAACTATAGTTCACAGGAATTGTTTGGTATCTGAAGTGTGGTCACATGCTTGGTTACCCTGTAGAGATACCTGCACGCAGTGTTCGGACACCTTTAAGCATACATTCATCCAGTCTATTTAGCTGGAAAAAAACGGTGAATAAAACAGATTGTTGTTCCCCTAGTGGAGTTACTCTCTAAGGAAACACACTAATACACAGGAGAGCAAATGTTGTCCCTTCATATTGGCAGTCGACAATAAATACAGGCAGGAGCCTCAATTCACAAAGCTTTACACAAGGATAAGAACTCTGGTTTGTTTTTGTTTTTTAAAGTGACAGTTATTTTCAGTTGAGTCCAATGAAACTTCAAAATGACAGTCGCATAGCTGAAATAAAGATCCTTCTCCTTGAGTGTCAGCTTTGTGAATTGAGCCTACAGTGTTATGCTGGGCACACACCTTACAACCAAAAGTCTTGCGATGGTTGTAAGGTGGTTAAAAAAAACGTACGATCTGCCTATCTTGGACAGGCAGATCGTACTTGCGATGATCGCAAGCCCGCCCCGCTGAGCCCGCGTTAGTGCACACCGGCCCGTTGCGGCATTTATCTTACAAACGTGCCACACACCCGCCGACAATCGTACGACTCTCGGCGGGTTTTCGAACATGTTCAGAAGATAAAAGTCGTGCGACCTTGCGATAATCGTACGATCGCGGGATTTCCCGTGATTATCGTACGATTATCGCAAGGTGGGTGGGCACCTTTAGAGAACAGTCTTTATCCAATTGTCTGAACGTGGCCTAAGTATCTTGGACAGGCAGAGCATACTTGCGATGATCGCAAGCCCGCCCCGCTGAGCCCGCGCTTGTGCACACCGGCCCTCCCCGCTGAGCCCGCGCTTGTGCACACCGGCCCGTTGCGGCATTTATCTTACAAACATGCCACACACCCGCCGACAATCGTACGACTCTCGGCGGGGTTTCGAACATGTTCAGAAGATAAAAGTCGTGCGACCTCGCCATAATCGTACGATCGCGGGATTTCCCGTGATTATCGTACGATTATTGCAAGCTGTGTGGGCACCTTTAGAGAACAGTCTTTATCCAATTGTCTGAACGTGGCCTAAGTATTCCAGTGGACGTGCATTAGAATGTAGAATATTGTTGATATAAAATATATAGTCAATAAAGAGAGCAAACAACCATTTGTCAGATTATCATGCATTGACCCCCATCTGTGCACGCACTCCGTCAGGTTGTGCCCGTGTACTTGATCCAGAACAGGAAAGCAAATATTTTTTTTTTTTGCTATAGGTGACCTGCATTCCCGGAAAAAAAGCTTTTCCAGCTAAATAGACTGGATGAATGTATGCTTAAAGGTGCCCATACACCTGCCGATTATCGTACCATAATCGCGGTTGATCCCGAGATCGTACCATAATCGCGGTTGATCCCGAGATCGTACCATAATCGGCAGGTGTATGGGCAGCGTGCGACCGCATCTACCTACCTGCAGCTGGAAAATCGTACGATTTTCGGAAGTTAGTAGCGTGCTGGGAAGATAAGAGTCGCATGGGCCGGTGTGAGCAAGTGCACATTGCCCGCTCACCATTGCAATCATCGGCAAGCCTGCCCCTCAGCGGGGAGGACTTGCGATGATCGCAAGTACGATCTGCCTGTCCAAGATGGGCAGGTCGTATGAAATTTTAATGACCTTACAACCATCGCACAACGAAAGTCGTGCAATGGTTGTAAGGTGTATGGCCAGCTTTATACCACGGGTGGGCAAACTCTGGCCCTCCAGCTGTTCTGGAACTACAAATCATGAGACATCCCAAGATTCTCACAGCCACAGGCATGAATCTCAGAGACAGATGCATGATAGGATTTGTAGTTTCACCATAGCTGGAGGGCCAGAGTTTGCATATCTCTGCTTTATAACCAGATATAATCTAGTAATACAATACTGGTCAATATGGCTAAACATTTTATATGACAATAACAAAAACATAAGACATTTTTTGAAAAATAGCCAAGTATAACCATGAATGACATACCCGAGACAGCATAGATCCATCTTTTCCATCTATTTTCACAATAGCTTTGCGGAAATCTGTGAACTTTCCTGATAATTCATTCTCCAGGTTAGATTGTTCCAGGGACCCTAGGAAACAATGAGCATATAAAAAATGCATAAGGCAAAGATTAATAGGCACATTGCTGCAACCTATGGCAGATCTTATTGTTTGTCACCGGGCTCTGCACATCCTGCCTGCTCTTTGTCATTAAATTGGTCTCACATCTCGGTCTCTATTGTGGTGACACCGCTGTTACAGTGTGATTATATGCTATGAACTCTGATGCCAAATAAACAAATACTGCACGGAGGGTCTAAAAAAAAAAAAGCATCATCTGACACAGCACCTCGATCTTTCTATAATGTAACACAGCAATAATGTAACCAGAATATTTACAAACATACATCTGTATTGTTGAAATTACAAAATAAGATTACTGAAAAAAACCCAAAAAAGATTCTATTAACAGTGGGCAGCACAGTGGCTTAGTGGTTAGCACTTCTGCCTTGCAGCACTGGGGCCCTCAATCTGCATCCTGAACAGGACACTATCTGCATGGAGTCTGCATGTTCTCTCTGTACTTGCACGGGTGTCAGAAGTCAGTGCCAAGGGACTTATGCATGGGTCTGCGCATGTGCATGCATACAGCCTGGCTCATAGAGCTAGGCCGGGTCGCACACCTCTGTAAAGGCGCGCGGATGCGCGTGCACACATCCGAGGTATCATGGCGCCAAATGGGCTATTTAAACTGGGCCCTTTCTTGCCTCTGGTGCGGAGTACTCGTCAGCTAATGTGTACCCGTATTCCTTAACCTGATTCCTGTTTCCTGCCTTCCCGTTGCAAACCCGGCTTGTTGCTCAACCACGCTGATCCTCTGGTGACCCTGATCCTGGCTCGATTTTGGACTACGCTTCTGCCTCCTGTCTTGTACTACGTTGCCCGCACAGTTCTGACCTCGGCCTTCCTCCTGACCACTATCTCACCTGCTGTCCTGATACCTCCTCGCCTGCAGGTTGCCAACCTGGTCCATCTCATGTTGAGTATTCTTGTCCTGCTTCCTCGCCGCGCGTTCCTATTCAGCGGAGCTCCTGCAAGCTCAACCTACTTCAGTAAAATCTACTTACGGCACTCGTGCCCCTCTGTGCCCCAGCTCACCTGTCCCACTATTCAGGGGTCCTGGGACTAGAGCTGCAAGAGAGGCCTCCTTCATCACCTCATGCTCTATAAAAGGTACCCGACAGTGGGTTTCCTCCAGTATTCTCCCATACATATGCTGCTAGGTTAAAGCTGAACTATTATTTAAATATATTCTTCAATAGCCACCAAAGATATAAATCCACCATGTGTGCATTGCATGCCATTGCAAACCCAGTTATTACATTGTATTGTAGTGGTAACATTATCACTGTGCTGAATACAGCCTAGACAGACAGCACAGATGTGGGAGGGACCCAGCAGATTCCACCCGCTACAGGCTGCCTGCAGAAAAGTAGAAGAGGGGGTGGATACAAGACTAGTCACCCTGCACAAGGAGAGAGTAGCAGTGACTGGTCTTTATTACAGGAAGCTCCTGCACAGATTTCACACTGGATTACTGCACAGATCTGGAAGAAATACACAAAGCACACCAAGGTCCGAGGAAGAATATACATGTCTTTGGATCTAGACAATATTTGTTTCTCCAGGATCTCAACTTAAATTGTCTCTTGTCTAAACTGGCCCTAGTATGCTATTCCACTGAGTGGACTCATGATGCCCTAACACCAATTTGAGAAGCACTTTGTGTTCTCAGGAAAAAAAAAACACTATAGAAGTATAAATTGATAATATTAATATATGGCTGTTGTGAAAAACAGGAAATGCAATACAAAAATACATCATTATAAAAATATCCGGTGACATTTACAAAACCGTATATGTAAATGTAGATTTTCAAAAAGCAGTAAAGTTCACCTACCTAGGTCCAGTGCAAATTCTGCAGTGCATGAATCTGAGCAGCCAACAAGAACTGAGTCTTCCAAAGTCAACTTGCATTTTCCATGCTGGCTGAGGGTGTTCAGTAACTCTATAAAGCCAAGAGTGCCTATTATAAAACTTGAGCCAACGAGCACATTATAATGTCACCCTAATTCACTATATCTGAGAGGGAAGTCAGTGATGAACGGTCACATGATCACAGGTCTAATAAATCACTGTCACTACCTGTGTGACAAAGGTCTAAATCTGGGGAAAACTACTACTACTCCAATATAATATTTCCCCACATAACACATTCTAAAGCAACGAATACAATCCTTTGCAGAATTTGCAATAAAAAAACGCATACCCGATATATAATAATAATGATATTTCCATATTTTTGAATGTCCCTTCTTGGTAATTTGCAAGCGTAGTTTAAAACAAAAGCTCACTTATCCTTCTTGCCCCTTTCTCTTGACCTAACCTAACCCCCACCCCCCTTCACAGATGTGTACTTAAACTCGATCTGACGGGTGCGGTTTGGTTGTTTGCTTTCATGCAGTCAAGTCTTCACTCTCATGGCCCAGCCTGTGCATTACAGCCCCATAGACCTCTATGAGATTGTGTCCGATCATTTCAAGCCTCGGGATACAGCTCTATAGAAGTCTATGGGGCACTGATACACAGGCACATTTAGAAAAGTGACAACTTCCACCACCACAGATCAAGAAGTAAGCATTGTGGGGTGGAGGGGGGTATGGGTAAGGTTGTGGCAGAAAGAATAAATGCACTTTGTTTTAAAGTGCGATTATTAAAATAGACTATTCTTCACCTTGAACTCCAGGTAGATATCAAAATATCATTTAATGCAGTTATGTGTTAAAAAATCTTGACTTTATTTTTAAATGCAATCAGTATAAATCTTGACAGCAGCCTACTATAATCCCCTATACAGTAAAAGTCTGGCTGGGAGTGGGAGGGCCAGTACTCTGAGCCAATCAAGGTCTGCATCATTAACATGTCCTGACAGCACACTGACAGAAGGAGAAAGAAGCGGTATTATCTTATCAGTTTACTACTGCTCATTCATTGCCCAGTCACAGGCTATGTTATGGAGGTGACCAAGCTGTGTTGCTTAGCTGCAGTAAATAAAAAGTAAGGTCACCAACCTGGTTCAGCTGTCTAGCAGGGCTGTATAATTCTTAGGGCTGGATAGACAGGAATACAAATATTTTAGAAGCTGAAACTGATATTAATGTATTTCATCCGTGTACTTAACCTTTTGTCTGAAGTTCAGCTTTAATTGCTATTTAAAGACTGTTTTACTGGGATGGTAAAATATTTACCTTTACTGGATAATATGCTGATCCTGGCCCCTTCCTGAGCTGGTCAGTTGACCTAATGCCTAAGTCTTTGGTCACATCATTTCTGCTGAAAGAGATGATCAGCCAATCTTAATTCTAATTCTTCTCTTCAACAGGAATCGCATTACTGTCCTCGTTATGTAAGCAGTACTGGAGGGGTCCTGAAGGAGCTATTCTCCAGTAAAGTTAAAGTGACATTAAACCCTCAGATTTTTTTACATAAACCAATACTGTAATGTGTACCTTACTGTAATCCATGGTTGTTTCCCTTCTCTTTGCTGCTCTTCCTTTTAAATCCTCATGTCTTCTCATGCTTGGGGAGAACTTCCCTTTGCAGCTGACTGCCTCTTCCTGTAGTGCTGGCTCAGGTTGCAAACCTATACACAGACACCATGTAGCCATTCCAGAGACAAGGCAGTCTGCTGCAAAACAGAAGTTCTGCCCAGCATGAGAAGACATGAGGATTTAAAAGGAAGAGCAGCAAAGAGAAGGGAAACAACCATGTATTGGTAAGGCGCACATTACAGTATTGTTTTATGTTTAAAAAAAAACACTGTATTGAATGTTTGGAATTTCAGCCGCCACTATATTTTCCTTTCCAACAAGCTTGGCTTTATATTAACATCTGGTCACCACTGACCTATTTATTTCCCATACATGCAAAGTATACCCTGTGTACCTTACATGCCTGAGCTAATTTACAAGATAATTAAAGCTACACTCCTCCCTTAGTCTTGCACAGTTATACAGGCACCTCCCCTGTACTAAAACTGCTTATCATGATTGTATATTACAGTGTGATATATTGACTGTCAAACCATAGAAATGTCCATACACAAAAATATCAGACATCTGTGTACACACTCGCTAGAAGAGTAGCAAATGGTATAATCAAAGCAACATCTCTCTTTGATTATACCGTTTGTTACTCTTTAATATGATTTTACTGCACACTATGAGCTTCTCAGGGTGTGCATTAAAAGCTGCAGCAAGTCAGATAGAGCTTAATTTCCTGGCTGGAGGGCATCCAGCATCATCCAGTACTTTCCTTCCCAACCAAACCGTCCCTGGCCCACTCCTTTTAGTCATTGCATTTCCGTTCTTGAAATCATGCAGGCTCAGCATCACTTGTGGGCATTACCTAGGACGGTCTGCATGCAATCAAAGTCTGCCCACTCCTCCAGACTGACACCAACCCATGAGGCCATTTTGATATTTGTAGAACTCATCCCAAAAGCCAGCTGACTGCTAGCATCAGGGCTGAGGGCTCTTGCGAGGAGTACTAAGGCAGGTTGCTTTGATGTTTTCAGGAAGCTATGTACAGCACCCTGCCAAACCCTCCTACCATGCATGATCTGCCCTCATGACATAGTAAGCATGGAGACCCAGAGATGACATCACTGGGTCCTAAATAAGGTATGTAATCATAATAGCTATATGAAAAAACATTTTTTTTAAAGTCACCAAAAAGGGTTTTACTTACCTGTGTCTCCGCCGCTCGCTCTCGTCCGAAGAAGTGAAAAATTATCAAGCGGCTGCGAAGGATCATGGGGCAGGCGCATGCGCAGTGGAGCTCTTCGGCCGGGAGAAGAGGAGAGACACAGGGTAAGTCAATGCAAGCAGCCCAGCAGTGTGCACGTGCACAGACTCCCGTGGGGCAGGAAGACACAGCAGTCAGCGCTGAATCAGAGACCAACGCCATTGCTGAAAACTACTGCAAAGAAGAAGATGATCGGCTCAAGAGGCATCATTTAAGGTAAGTCCTTAAAGCAGAAATGGGGGGGAAATTGTATCCTTTAATGTCACTTTAAGCTTTAAAATTAGGTATAAAGCACCAAGTAAAGCAGCGGAGATGTATATGATGTATATTCAGGTTCTACAGAATATGTTCATTTTTTCAAGTGCTAGATAGAACATTAAAGCTTTTTGACTCATGAGGAAACAAGAGCATGTTTACCTGAAGAGCTTATAAGTGGTACACAATAACTACTGTCGGACTTCCGTACAAGGGGTGAAAGCTTGTGGAACAGATAAAATGATCCTGATTTTAGTGCCTGGCGACAAATGTCATCATTTTCTTTTAATTCAAACAGGAAGCTGGGGATAAATATGAACATAATGTTAAGCAATATATTGGCTAACAAGGGAAAGCAGTAAGAGGAAGAATTACATGTTATTGTTCCTTTGCAAAGTGGACGCATCCATTAAGAGAATAACAGCACAGTAAATGGATTTGACATTGTGAAGCAGACTTTGCTTCAATCATTCTATGTCATAATGAGTCATCTTTTATCCACTTATCAGATTGTCACTTTTTTAGTGTATCATGGTGTACCTACTACCCTCACCACCACCACCGCTAACAAGATATTTACAGTTTCTGGTTAAAGTGCCTTTACATCTCAATGCACAAACTGCAAGGTCAGCTTTTCATATGAAGTGCCTGTCTATGACAAAGGAACTGAAAGTGGTAGAAAGTAGAAGGGGGAAGTACAGTTTATTCTCTTTTAATGACATCCCAGTCTTAGTCCGTAGGGTTCAATATTGAGTTGGCCCACTCTTTGCAACTTTAACAGCTTCAACTCTTCAGGGAAGGCTCTCCACAAGGTTTAGGAGTGTGTCTATGGGAATGTTTGACCATTCTTCCAGAAGCACATTTGTGAAGTCAGGTACTGATGTTGGACGAGTAGGCCTAGCTCACAGTCTCCGCTCTAATTCATCCCAAAGGTGTTCTATCGGGTTGAGGTCAGGACTCTGTGCAGGCCAGTAAGGTTCCTCCACCCCAAGCTCATCCATTTCTTTATGGGCCTTGCTTTGTGCACTGGTGCGCATTCATGTTGGAACAGGATGGAGCCATCCCCAAACTGTTGCCACAAAGTTGGGAGCTGAAATTGTCCAAAATGACTTGATATACTGATGCCTTAAGAGTTCCCTTCACTAGAACTAGAGGGCCAAGCCCAACCCCTGAAAAACAACCCCCCACCATAATCCCCCCTCCACCAAACTTTACACTTGGCACAATGCAGTCAGGCAAGTACAGTTCTCCTAGCAAGCTCCAAATCCAGACACGTCCATCGGATTGCCAGACAGAGAAGCGTGATTCGTCACTCCAGAGAACACATCTCCAGTTCTCTAGAGTCCAGTGGTGGCGTGCTTTACACCACTGCATCCGACGCTTTGCATTGCACTTGGTGATGTAAGGCTTGGATGCAGCTGCTCGGCCATGGAAACCCATTCCATAAAGCTCTCTACACACTGAGCTTATGTGGCTCACTGAACCCTAAATACAGGAGGTCTGAACAATTCTCCTAAATACCAGAATGTAAATGCCAACAAGTGAACCATTAGATATTGCATATACTCTATGTGCCGCTGCAGGAGAAATGTCATGACACTAGAGCAGCCCTTTATAAAGACAAGAAAATTATGTTTCTGGTACAAAGAATGGCAACATTATTTACAAAAGTAATAATGTTTAAACTAAAGCTTATAAACATATTAACATAACAAAAAAATACATGCATAGTAAAAACAGAATAAATGAAATAAAAATAAAATCAGCAACATTTTTTTCATAAAAAAAGGAGTTAATTATGGCTGATTAGCGCTAACTAAGGGGTGACATAAAATAGTCTAAAATATACTGCAACATTATATTGTAACAACATATTTATCAATGAACCCTGCAAACCCTGATTACAGGCTGCATTTGCACAGGAGTGGTTGGACAGACTTACAAGAACCTCCTGGCCAAGAAGACTACATCTCCACCAAGTTGAATCATGACAGAAACAAATGCAATGCTCTTTTCTATAATATATGACCTTTTTTTCCTCTCTCTTCCTCTTCCCCCTCCATTTATCCCTCCTCCACTCTTTAACTCCTTCCCTACCCCAACCCCTACTTCCCATTCCCACCTCTCAGACCCTCTCTTCCTCTTACCTTCTCTTTCTTCTTTCAGACTTTTACCACCTGCCCTTCCTCCCCCCTACGCCCTTCCCGCAAGTCAGATATCAACAGCCTAATACGAGCACACTAATGAGAGCAGAATCTGATTGGCTGCCAGGATTTACCACCCATTACAGATCATTGTGGTGTGTTCTTAAAGCCAAAATAAATTATTTTTGGCCTCCCTGGAGCTCCTGACATATTGTGCAACAAATCCGCAACAAGGTCTTTTATTTAGCACCCAAGGCAAAAAGGCCAAAGTGCCCCCACCAACC